AGGCTGAGGCAGAAGGATCGCAAGAGCCCAGCAGGTCAAGGCTGTGGTGGCCGGGAGCAGTCACTGCTCTCCAGTCTGGGTGAAAGAGTGAGACTCCAACTCAAAAAAAAAAAAAAAAAAAGAATATGTAAAGCAAATAATATGAGTTGGGCCAGCCAGGAGCCACATTGCTCCCTTTAAGGCCTACCTATGCAATAAAGGCAATACAGTTCAGGAAGAGAAGAGATACAAGCAGATTCCTGATGAAAAAATATAAGCTCTCCCTCAGCCTAGCCATGTCAAAATCCTCTCTGTCCTAGATTTCCATTATATGTACCAATACATTCCCTTTTAAAATTTTGGCTACTTTGTTAGAGTTCCGTCCATACAGCAGACAGAGTCCTGAATAATATGTTACAAGTACTTTTATTTATATATACATATAAAGACATTTGGAAGCCTCTATCTTGTCACCCTGGACTCTGTGAAACTTTTATTTTCAGAAAAACTAGTAAGTAGCTCCTCTTTTCATCTATATCCATTGGTTCAATCTTTTCCTAAACTTGACTTTTTGGGGGACATAGTAAATGATGTATAACTTTCACATATCATTTTATTCTGAAATATGACATAGAAAAATGCAGAATAGTTAAAAGTATACTTCAATTAATAGCTGATTACAGAGTAAAAAAAAAATTATAAGGAACTCATATAACCACAACCCAGGTTAAGAAAGAGAATACTGGGAATCCCTGTGTGTCTCCTTTCAGTCATGACCTTGAATTTCTCCCCAGGGAAATCACTATTCTGACTTTAACAGTTATTACTTTATGGGTGTTCTTTATAGTTTTTCCTTCTGTGCAGGATTCTAAAAATAGAGTTTAGTTTTGCTAGTCATTGAACTTTATACAAAATGGAATCATACTAAATGTAATCTTGTGCTTTGCTTTCTTGCTAAATGTTACTTCTGTATGATTCATTCATATTAACCCGTGTGGTATAAAATATTCGTTCCACTGCCATATAGCATTTGTAATATACAAACATATCATAATTTAGTCATTTTAATGCCTAATTACAATTCTAATTTTGGACATTTTGATAGCTGATATTTGAGTTGTTTCAATGTTTTGACTATTATAAACCCTGATCCTAAGACAATTCTAATACACGTATTTTAATGTACATGTGCATAAATCTGACTAAGGTATAAATCTAGGAGTGAAATTCCTGGGTATGTATATTTTTATCAGATAAAGCCAATAGTTTCCAAAAGAGTTGTGCCTAGTCATGTATTTTTTTAAATTCAGTAGTTTTAATATTATAGATTATTCAAACATAATCTTTTCTGTAGTTGCAAAGCTTCTGTGCATACCAATATTAGTATACATATATTAATTTAACCTTAAAAATGAGCATAATTTTCTGAATGTCTAAAAAGGTACATGTTCAATACAAAAATTTAAAATAAGTTTTTGACAATAAATATGGCAGAAAAGTGTACTGAGTTAAACATTGTCTAAAATATTTTATATGGTTTTTAGAATAAGTTAAATATATATTAGGGTATTATTTATGACACTTCCAATTAGGTAAAGACTAATATTATAATGATGACTATTATTGTGTATTTAATTTCAGAGACAGTTGTATATTTCATTAGTTGCACGCATCTGTACTTAATCACTATTCTCTACCTGTAAATGATACATTTCTTATAATTTCGTAAATGGATATAACAAAGTCTACTGTGGTAAACATTTATTTCTTCCACTGCTTAAACTACGATATGATACAGAGCAATTGTCAAAGTATCTAGAAATTTCCAAGCACAGGCTAATTATTTCTTAAAAAGACTTAGACAAGTAGTGGGAATCTGCCATGGGAGGAGGGACACACCTCATCAACAAGGTTACCTGCATAATGAACATTTGTATATATAACCCTGAATTGTATCCCACACCTTTAAAATAAAAAAATTAAAAGAGAAGGAAAAAAAAAACTACTCAGACATGGAAAAACCTAAAAATTCAAAACTTTGTTTTTGAACATACTTTCCTTTTTGGTCTTCTCCTCCTTTTAGGCAATGAGTGTGAAATATAAATGACCATGGGTGAAGAAAGGACAGCATCCCCAAAGAAGAAGACTTTCACAGTGATTAATATGGAGCTGCCAAAGGACATCTGGCAGCAAAACGAAGCAATAGCTTATGTGACTAACAAAAAAATTAGGCAGTAAGACCCTAATACATATCTCCCTGGAACCTAAGATAGTGTGTTTGACGAATTGTTTAAGGCAGCCTACATTCTTCTATTTGTTTAAACTGTGGAGGCAAAAATATAGTAAAAAAAAATTACAGTTAACTTTTGTTATTCAAATTGGCTGATCAGTTAATAAAACATGCTGATTAACAGATTTACCACACATACTGCTAATTAAAAATTAGAATAATATATGGGTTTCATTAACAGAATGCTGAATATCAGTTAATCTTCCCTTAAGGATTCTGAAATTTATTTTTAAAAGTCATGGCAACAATGCATGATTCAATTACCATAGAAAGTGTAAAAGACTGGTCTGAACTTCTGCCAATCTTGTAACATGCTTTGGAAGCTATTTTGCTGAATAAGTTCACAAAGGCTGACTTTCCACATGGCCTATATAATAGTAGAGCAGATAATGTAGAAAAAAAATCTGGGAATTTGAGTTTTATAGTTATTTGAATCACTCAATCAATCTCTCCCCCGCCCCTTCTCTTGGGTGTGAGGATGGTGTTTCCAAATAATTATGAACTTGCAATTAATGTAACTCTCTGTCAAATCTCAAAACAGATTTCTCACAGAGATAATCTTCTCACTGAACTTTAATCAATATATTATACTATGTTGGACTACGTTAAATAAGACTAAAGGTCAAAGATGCTAAATCTTCGTATATTCAAAGGTATTTTTGTTCAAAACAAAGCTTCATCACCCTTCTCTGAACGCCAGCTTCTTACCAAAGTGATTATAAAGGTCTCCTTTAGAGGGAAGATGGCTCCAAACCTCAATGAACACACCTATGTCACCCATGTCACTGCTTATGATCTGAGGTAGAGACCTGACTACTCTGGACTAGAGGTTTAGTAGTAGAACAAAAGCCCCTCAGAATTTGTGACTACAAAGTGCTTGATCATCACAGTGAGTCCCAAAAAGATAGAATGTGGAAATATTCAAAAGAGAAGGATAACCAGAAGTTGACAGAGAAGCTCATAAGCACGAGATGATGCCAGAGGGAAAAAGAAAAACAATCTCAGAGTGAGATAAAGTGAAGAATCACAATAGAACATTACATTATCACTATTGTCACTAGAATCAGGCTATTTAAATTAGAACCAACTCTACTATAATTGTTCTTCACTTCCAGAATGCTAAACCCAAATAAATGCTTTAGTATTAGACCTACGGAGCCTCTCTGCTACATTTGATACTATATATTGCTTCCTCCCTATTGAGAATCTGAACTTCTTCAAGGATTCCACTTCTTCATTAGCTCTTTAAATGTTTGTATTTCCTGGGCTCTATGCTGTTCTTCTTACTCTATTTATTCTTCGTAGATGATCTTATCTACTCTTGTGATTTCAGCTTTGATTTCTCCCCCAGTATCAGTCTCCAGGATGCAACTGTTGTTGAACAGCTCTACTTAGATGCCTCAGAAATATCCTGAACTCAAAGAATTCAAAACAAAATTCATCATCATCTCCTACACTTTTTCTTCCATTCAATCTTAATAGATGTATTTTCTATCTCAACTCAAAATATCACATCCCTCAAGTCAACAAAGCTAGGAAACTAGACTTGTCACCTTCCTGACCATTCCTTTATCAATCCATCTACAAAATCAACCCACTTTGCCCCCTGAATGTTTCTTAACTCTGTTTCTTTTTCTTGGGTCTCAACATCTCTCATTTAGATTGACATGTTCTAACTGGTTTCTCTGCTGCTGCTTGCTCCTTTTAATTCTACCCTTTACATAGAGATGGAAGACATTTATCTAAAATGAACATCTGGCTACATTATTCTCTTGCTTCACAGTGACCAATGCTTCCTCATCAGCTCTAGAATAAAGCTCATATTTTGCCATGATCACAGTCTTCCTAATCCAGCCAATGCCCATCTTACCATTTTCACCTCATATTGCTCACTGCATGCGACCACTACAGTAAACTATAATTTCATATTGTTCCTTTGTATATTGTGCCCCTGTGTTTCCATACATTTTTTCATGGTGTTGCTTTTGTCTATAATTCTCTACTCCCTCCTTTTCCCCACTTACCTTCTCCAACCTCAATTATTTATGTTTTGACAAAGTTGCCACTTCCTTCTCCAGAAAGTTCCTTCTGAAAGTTCTGGCAGAGGTGGGTGGGTAATTCTCCTCTGCATTCTCTTATCATTTCACTTAGCATACTATAAGTTCTGTAATGAGCTTGTATTATTTTTGTCATCAGAAAAATTAATTAAGACACATAAAAGAGAATAAAAATAATAAAGTATGTGACTACATTATCTGTGCTCCATCCTGGACTATGAGGTCATTGAGAACACAAATTATGAATGATTCATCTTTGTAATCCTACTTCTGAGCCCAGTACCTGGCAACTGATGCTCCATAAATGTTCTATCAAAGGAAAGTGACTGACATAAAAGAGAATGTACAAAAACACATCACAGAAATGATAAAAGTCGTCTTTCCCACAGTATAGTGGTTCATAATGGTCCAGGTCCTGATATTTGGGCTGTTACACTGACTGCTTTAATTCTAGAGGGTTCTAGTTAAAAATAACTCCAAATTAATTCTATTGAGAAACTGTCCTGTTCTTGACATCAGATCTCTAACTTTATTACCCAAGGTGCATTTTATAAAAGATACACCATGTACAATCTCCATCAGGTAAATGAGAAATAAGAAAAAAGAATAAAGCCAGTAGAAAATAAAATAAAATTGGCAGCACTGTGCTATTTATTACATGGAAAATTACTCACATGCAGCAGTAATACAGCAGCAAGAAAAGATTGTCCTTGACAGTACCCGATGTCTTCATCATATACAGCGTAGGCCTGGAGAAAAGATGATGAGAAACAAATATGGTAAATATTCACAGATTTTTAACTCAAGTGTTAGTAACACCAGGCTACTGCTTGTGCCTGTCCCTGGGCTGTCTACTGTAATTCTGCTGGTTTTTCAACTAGAATGTGTGTGCCACTAGCACAGGAGGATCCCCAAAGAGGCTGTGCATTTCCTAAAGAAGCTCTAGAAGTCCCTTCATCCCAGCTTCATCTTTAGAATTGTGAAATAAGGAGATGCTCAGAGCACCTGCATTAATTTTAAGGATCCATAATGATTGGAGGTCAGCTGATGGAGACCACAGGAGGCAAGAGCAAAGAGTAGGGAGAAGAGGAAGGACCTAGAGTTGATGTGGGAGTTCAGGTACATGACAAGGGGGACATCTTGAAGCTGCTGGAGCATAAAAATTACCCTCTAGAAGTTCTCCAAGACCTTCTAAACTGTCTTCCCATTTTCTCAAAAGCTAAGGAATAAAAATGGTTCCTCCTATCTATACTGGGGTAAACCAGAAATATTTAGCATTGCCTTGTGCTTTTTGCAGAATGGCTAAGAGCGAGCCTTGTGCCACATACACGCATACCTGCTACTATAGGTGCTCTGGCTGTTCTACACCTTGAACATTATTTTAACCAGGCCCAGAGGAAGACAGCCCAACAGCCCCATCCAGAGGAAATATAGCACTCCTTGGGAAGTAACTATCAGGTCATTAACTCGATAGTTACTTCTTAGGCATTAGAGTAATGAAAGTAAGATTGCATACTTAGCATTTACTAACTAGTACTTCAAACATCTGGGATTGTAATGCAAAAAGAAAAAAAGATAATCTGTACTGGCTTTTAGGAGGCTTGAATCAGTTACAGTAGGCAGAGTGTGCTCATCTGAGAGAAAAGATTAGGCATAAGAAAGCTTTTTCTGTGAAAGTCCAGATAGTAAATATTCTAGGCTTTGAGGGACACTAATGGCATTAGTTGCCTAAATTTTTTTTAAACTAACCTCTTACAATGTAAAAATCATTCTTAGATTAAAGACAGAGCAAACACAGGCTTCATGGGTCATCATAGTTCACTGACACCCAGTTTAGAATTAAAAATTAATTCCAGTGCTATCACATTTAGTTTTAAAAGAGTACTACTGGAATCCAGGATACATATTCCATCCCATGTAACACATCTATGCATTGTACTTCATTTTAGTTAGGGGATTTCCATGTAATTCACTTAATACAATGTATTGTGATTTTGTGACTATTAAAAGGATTACTATAGGGAGGGTAAGTGTGATATTCCCCACATGTCAAAGTCATCAGAGTACAGAGTCTGGAACTCTTCTTTTTTTTTTTTTTTTAAACTTAAAAAAATAAACTTAGCTGGGCGTGGTGGCTCAAGCCTGTAATTCCAGCACTTTGAAAGGCCAAGGTGAGAGGATAGTCTGAGCCCACGGATTCAAGAACAGCCTGGGCAACTTGGCAAGACCGCATCTCTACAAATAACCAAAACATAGTTGGGTGTGGTAGCACGTGCTTGTAGCTCTGGCTGCTTGGAAGGGTGAGGCGGAAGGATCACCTGAGCCCAGCAAGTAGATGTTGGAGTGACCGTAAGCATGCCACTGCATTCCAGCCTGGGTGACGGAGTGAGACTCCAACTCAAAAAATAAAAATAAATAAACTTTATTGGTGTATGGCTCATACTCAGTGAAACATATTTTAATGGCAGAATTCCTTGAGTTGAGGCATTTATGTAATTCTACCATTACAGATTATTTCCATCACTCCAGAATGTTCCTTCATGCCTATGTTTAGTCAAACACCTTTACTTCACTAATTTTTATCACAATATATTAGTTTTGCATTTTTTAGAACTTCATGCAAATGAAAGCATGTAACAGTGTATTCATATAATATGTTCTTTTTTGTGTCCAGCTGCTTTTGATCAGTGTAATGTTTCTGAGATTTGTTCATACTGTGTGCATCAGTAGTTCATTCCTTTCTACTGTGAGTAGTATTGCACTATATGAATAGACCAAAATTTGTTTATTCATTCTTCAGTTTCCAGTTTTTGGCTAGCACGAATAAAAGCTTCAATAACAAGGCTATTGCAGATAAAGATTTTCATTTTCCTTGAGTAAATACCTGGGAGTAGATGCTCATGCTAAATTCAAATGGTAAGTGAATGTTTACTTTTATAAGACACTGCCAAATTGTTTTCCAAAGTGTTCATACAATTATTACACCCATAATGCATGAGAGTACGCATTGCTTCACAACCTGGTCAATCTTTTTTTGTTGTATTCATTCTTGTGATTTTTGACTTGTATTTCATTGATGGCTAATGATATCAAACATATTTTCATGTGCTTTTAGGTAACTGATACATATTCTTGAGTGATTATTCAAGTTCTTGCCCAATTGTTTAGTGGGGTTGTTAGTCTCATTATGTTGATTAATAGGAGTTCTTCATATATTCTGTTTATAAATTTTTCTTAGTCTGTTTAAGATACTATAACAGAATACTATAGTCTGGGTATCTTACAAACAATATAAGTTTATTTCTCACAGTTCTGGAGAAGTTCAAGGTCAAGGAACCAGCAGGTATAGTATATGACAAGGGCCTGTTTTCTGGTAAATGGAAATGGGCCTTCTCACTGCATCCTCACAACCTGGAAAGAGCAAACATGCTCCCTCAGGCTTAATTTATATAAAGGCAATAATACCATCATGGGGACTCTGCCCTCCTGATCCAATCACACCCCAAAGGTCCTACCTCTTAATATTATAACCTTAGGGGTTAGGAGTTCAACAAATACATTTTGAGGGGACACAAACACTCAGACCATCACAAAGTACACTGTCAAATATGTTCGAGAAGAGACCCCAAAATCCCAGAATTATCTTTTGGAGGGCAAGCCCCTCGTAGTGCACTCGGAATACGTTCCTCCGGATCAAATGGTCAACTAAAGTATTCAAAAGGTCAACTAAAGTATTTCTCTGGAAGTTTTAAGGAGGTTGTGTCATGATTTGCAGAAGAAATATCCCAAGTTGTGGCAAACAGGTGATTTGTTCTTTCTCCATGACAATGCACCTGCCCCCACCTCGCTGAGTGTTCAGGAGTTTTTGACCAAAAACAGCATAACCTCTGTGCCCCACCCTCCCTAGTCACCAGATATTGCCCCAAGCGACTTTTATTTTTGTTTCCCCAGATAAAAAAAAGTCCTACAAGGGAAACATTTTGCCAATGTGAAAGAGGCGAAATAAAAAACAGCAGAAGTACTAAAAGGCATCAAAATGAATGAGTTCAAAAACTGTTTTGAGCAGTACAAAAAGCATCGTGATTGGCGGCAAGATGGTGACAGGGCAAACCGGCGTCTGAAGCCCTCTGCAAGGGAGATCTGCAGTGGGTCTCTGACTCTCGCCCCGGGGGGCTGGGGACCCCAACATCGCAGTCTGCTCTACAGACAGAGCTCGGCGCTGCCATCGCAAGGACTGAACAGTTTTGACTGCATTCCAAACAGTCCCACTGCCACAGCGGCCGCCCTTGCCCCTCCCCCCACTGCCGCTGCCGCTGCCACCGACGCGGCCTCTGGGAGGGGTAGCCCATCACACCACCCAGCCAAGGAGAGCCACAGCAAACCGCTTCAGGGAAGATCTGCTGGGATCGCTGCCACCTATCCTGCATCCGAGACTGCCTTGTCCGCCTGGCGGGGGCTCCCGCTGCCTGCTCGGAGGCAGGCAGCCATCTTGTTCCTGTCCGGCCCCACCCCCTCTGGGGCGAGCAGATGAGATAGCACCACCTGCTGGCGATTCAAGGTAACAACACCAAAATGGGAGAAACAAGCTTCATAAAGACATAGACCAAACTGCTGAAGGAAGGTTAATCTGAACTATCCTTCACAGCAGATCAGGGACAACTGACTCTAACTGCAAACTAATTTACCAGCTTGAAAAGAAAACTAGAAATCAGACCTGAAAGGACACTGGACTTAAACGAAATGTCTCAGAGTGTGCTTCATTGATTCTATCAGTTTAATGACTTAATTCTATTCCTACTGTATTGTTCCCTTTTTTCTTTTTTCCTTTTCCTTTTCTTCTCTTTTCTTCTTTATGTAAACCATATCTTTGTATAGAGGAACAGCACACTAACAAGGTGGTTGGTTAGTTTGTATGTTAGCATCATTATATGTTTTATTTTTGTTTGTATGAGAGTTGGTTCGACTGTAGCTGTGGTCTATTGTTTTTATCTGTTTCAGTATAGGCCTCTCTCTCTATTTGTTGGCATACTCGTTTGTTTCCCCCCTTACTCCTCTATCTCTCCACTCCCCTCTTCAACCCACTATCTGCTTCATTCTCTCCCCTCTGCTAACCACATTTTATTTCATGGAGTAAACCTACAGCTCCACTGCACGGACAGATTCCAGGGCAGTGGGGAAGTGGGTCCCACATTATCCACACGCCTGTCAGTGAATACCAGGA